GGGGCAAGCAGAACTATAAATCAAACTCGTGGAAGCTCTGACAACGATCCAATGAAAAAAAGATAGAAAGTGAAGCGGTAAACCACAACACATCCGAAAGCCCAGGTTGACAAAAGGGGATAAAGATATTTCGTTGCTAAACAAACTACTTGAAAAGTAAAATTTTGACGTATAGTCCTGAAATAGCACCTTAAACCACAGACCTTATGCTCACACTATCAAGTTGGTTTTAAGAATGACTTTACGCCATTTCTTAGAGCATTCTCGGCCTAAATTGAGGTATTGGTTTTCGGACACTATTTTGATTAATTAAAAGGTAGAACCACCTCGAATATTCCATATTTCTTTGCCATTAACGCATCATCAACCATATAGAATCGTAAAATTTAGCACAAATGACTGCACTTATGCTTGATTTTGTTTGTTGTTGACATTTTAACGACACTAAAAGCTGCCTTATTTCCTTTTTAAATTTCCTTCGCTCAATTCTGTTTCTCATTTTCATATATTCTTCTAACTTAGGACAAGTGTCTTTAATCTGACTTTCGGTCAACAAAAACGTAAAAGAAAAAAAAAAAACAAGCACCCAAATATGCACTTGGGGTTTGAGAGGTTACCTCGCTGGCACGAAACCGCTATTTTCTAATTATTAATACATAACTGAAATTTCTTAGGAAGAGAGGAGTTTGAGCCAGTTTGGACAGGTTACTTAACTTGCATACCAGAAGAAAAAAAAAAAGCGAGATAATTTAGTAAAGAAAGAAAGACAGGGAGAGAGAGAGGAAAGAAATATCTCATAACAACCAGGTTTATAGTATTCATATTTTCTAAACAGCATTAGTTAAAGAACTAATGAGTACTGAATAAGTTAACATAGTTGTACAAATTAGCCTTTCAATTCGAAGTAAAGGCCGGCCTTTACTTTCTACGTTTGCCTCTTGTGGACTCTTCATGCGAAAGAACTTGTCGCTAAATATTTACCAGAATTATTTCTCGTATCTATGCGGTGCCCATTGTAAATCACAAAGTCCATTACGTTTTTCTTTACGCCTCACAAGCAAAGTATCTCGCAGCCTTAATCGAGAGCTTGTTCCATGAAAGTTTAGGCACTGTGAGGTTCTCCGTGATATAGCTATGTCCATTTTTTAAACTGATTTTAAGCATGGCAGTATTATAACTACAGTTCACGGAAGCTTTCTCTTTTGTAAAATCAGATGATCAGTATATCGTTGGAAATGTTGTCCCCTGAGCAGTCTAATCTGTAGAAATGCCTTTATATAAATATTTGTCAGTTTCACGCAGGATATAAACCTCCTCAGTGACAAAGATAGACACTTAGGATCCGTTGTTTACACGAGGTCTAATCCAAACCACAGTTTTACGCAATCAGTGGGCTTAAAGCTTCCTCTACAGGAGCGTTGATTTAATTGACTAAATTTCCTTCCACTGTTAGCTGTCGGTTCCCATGACACAGTTGGAAAAAAGAGTGTTCAAATAAAAGATTCATTTAAATTTAGGATTGTCTAGGACGCGGTTTTGGTAAACAACGGCTAAAATTGGTTTAAATCATGAAACCTAGATGTCTGAATGAATTTTCTGTCGTTCTTTTCGTAATTCTCAAAGGCTCCAAACAGCTTGGAGCATCGACGTTTTAGCATTATGCGGTTCTCCTTGCTAAAATATGGCCATGTGTAGTTTTCATTATGCAATGTGATATTAGAACTGTAGCCACAACAGCCTTTTCCTTTGTAAAAACCAGAGGATTTATTGTGAGTCGTCTTGTCCTCTGAGCAGTGGAATCTATCGGAAATTTCAAGATAATTTGGTTTTATAAACTGAGTTTATAACATTTATTGGCCACCGTAGAGAGTTTCTTGAGCCGTCCTTTGAAGCGTTAGCCCTGACTAAGGATAACGCTCGCCGGAAACGTTAGCCCTTCGTCTCTACGCTCGTAAAGTTTATTTTTGCGCTTGAAAGGTAAGAAATAACTTGTAATACTCCTAATGAAGCAGCACCACAGTTTGTTTAGAAACTTACTGCCTTTCTTTAACAGTAGAAAAATGTGTTTATAAGTATTTACCACTTGCAAGTTGGAGATTACCTCTTTTGTGACAAAAGCTTAATTAACATTAAATAATCGTCAAACGAAAAAAATTTGTCTGTCATATCAATTTTCCTATATGTTGGTATCATTTAATTACTTAACTATGTTATTCAAAACTATTTTCAACCTTTATTGTAGTCAGGTTGAACTCCTACACAATATTCTCTTTATTGTGTGAAGGTTAATTGCGGTTCAAAGCTGTTCACGAATTTGGTGCGAAATTTAACATATTTTATCGAAGTTTGGTTCGAGTAAAGAGTAACACAATTCTCGAATCCTTCCACTCATTTTCATGTTTTCGCGAAGGAAATGCCTTTGAAATAATTTAGTGACGATTGCTATGGAAAGAAATCTTAGAAATGTCTTGAAGCTTTCCAATCATTCAGGCAATCTCAGCCAGAATTAACAACAGGGTTGATATTCGTCGCATAGCAACAGTTACGGTTACGATCCGAACTAGCGGAAACGTTTGCTCTTGGACTGACAAAGCATTCAACTGTAACGTCTGCTGTTTCCAGGTGTCGGCGAATATTTAGAAGAAGGAAGATTTAGCAATTTAACTTCGGATTTAAGTTCAACGTGCCTGCATAGAAGATATCTTGAAAATTTTCAGTGCTCTAGAAGACTTGCATGAAAGATTCTGCACAATAGATCCAGTTTTGCCCACGCGATAAGGTAGATGGATATGACGTTTATTCATGGTTCAGTTGAGCTTTCAACTGTGAATTATTAATGTTCGTTCTTGTTTCGTGCGTTCTGCATTGCGGTTTCGTTTGTAGATTTCTTAAAGAGACACAGGCAAGGGAGAGGTCTTTCAGTTGAGCACCAGTCTCAGAGAGGTAACACGACTATAAAAACATGTATTTCCTTAGAGTTTTATGCACAATTTTCATTTCCTTATCTCTTCTATTTCCAGTGAGTACAAAGTCATTCATCTGGTCTCGCGATCACATTGTCTTTACCCAAGTCTCATTGCGGACCGATTGTGGAGTAAAAATAAGCTTTGGTAAGTTAGAAGGCCACTGTTAATTTCTTTCTGTGCTCTAGTTGGAAATTTAATTCCAAGTGGTGTTTTCCTACTAAAAATGCAAAGTTGTCCCACAAGTCAGTGAATTTCTAAATTCAACGAAAGAAATTTTTATTAAAACAAGAATCGTCCGCAAAAGAATTAAGAATATTACGAATAGAAATCATGTTTTCTATGCTTTGAACGATAAAATTCATACTTTTTTTTTTCGCTGTTCTTACAACCCTCTTTTATGTTTTTCTTTCAATTTTTATTGATGATGTTTATCTTCATCTTGCACTTAGGTTTTTTATGGTTTATTTTTGTTTACTTGATGTGTTTCTTCTTTGTTCGGTTTTTTTTTCTCGTATTTTTTCCTTTTTTTTTTTTTTTTTCCTTGTTCTCCTTCACAGCTTATCCTTTTTCAAAAAGTTGTGCTCTATTTGCTCGTGGTTTTCAACAACTTTTTTACAATTCTTTCATCTATTCATTAATTAATTTCTCTGTTGCCACAGATCCTCGAGAACCTAATTATCAATATGAAGTGGGAAATTCTTTTGGCGACATTTATGCTTGTTTTACATCAAACAAAAGGTAACGCATTCGTCGTCTTGTCTTTATTCATCTTGATTTTAAAATTATGATAATTATTATTTTTCCCGAGGGCTTCATGAATTGACGATTATATCGAAGCATTACGAAAAGCAATTATGAGATAAAAGAATTTAAATCCGCGATTTCCTCGCCGGTTTAATTTGGATTCGTTAACATTTCATCATTATAAAGTGTCTCTTTTCTCACAACTACAACTAAATGGAATGTATTGTTACCCATCATAAATGAGAGAGTTGGAGTTCAAAATTGATTTTTTACTCGCTCTCAGGTCAGACGACGGCCTCAGTGACTTGTAACTCCAATCACACTGTGAGTATATTGATCTCAAACGTGGATGATGTAAAATTTTGGGACCCACCAGAGTGGAGAACATCGACAAACACTGCAGCGTGTCAACCAACACTTGATAATGATGCTGAAACAGTTACCTATGAAGCTCTATACCTCCCCGACTGTGTTACGAGTCAAACCAGAAAGATGGAGAAGTTCAATACATCCTCAAAATCAGCGCTGAAAAGGTTTCAGGTGATTCAGTTACAGGGCAGTTGCGCACTTACGACCACCTGTACTACGTCACGTGTAACTACGATAACGCAGGCAGAGCTTCGGCGAGTTTTGTGCCGATCAAGAACCGTGGGGCTAACGACACAGGTATGCAGATCTGGTTAAGATAACAGCATGTATAATTTACATAAACAATCTTAGAATGTATTCGTGCAAAGAGGAGATCCCTGAGGAGCGTCTATCAAACCTTTGCCACCGAATGTATTGACCAGCCTTCCTTCGGTGGCTGATGGAAAAAAAAAAGGAACAAATAATCTCTTTGGTTTCAATTTGATAAAAAAAAATAAAGTGGCGGAGAAACATTTATAAAAGCCTGGCATGATTTTGAAAGACAGCCATGTGTACAAAATGCATTCGTATTTTATTTTGTGATTGAGAAAGTTTCACTTCTCATCCTTATCACTACAGGACTATTAGAGCATGCCGGTCAAAAAAGAGTTATTATCATCAACTAACCTGAAAAAATGTAGAATTTTCAAATCGTCTTTTTTCGTCGATCAGTAATCTGCTACTGGAGTAGCAGTTACAGATCAGTGAATAGATGTCTCAACTACACTTCATTCAGTTTGCTAATATAATCTAGCCTTGCATTTATCAGGACGAGCAAAATCCTTGAATAATACAAACGTGTTCGATAAAGTCTTTTGAAATTTCTTTTGCTTTGTCTTACTTTTCCTTACTCACTTTTGTGGTCTCTTTTGTAATTTTCAGATGACGGAGTTTTCACCTTTTCTCTCATGGCGTATAGCGACGAAGCACATACTACGCCGGTTTCCAACCCTGTTGCTCTGGATGTAGAGATTTTCTTCAAAGCTTACTTCGAGACTCAAAGCAGCGCCCCCAACCTTGACTTGTATCCTGTGCGATGCTATTCATCAGAAAGCAATGATCCAGATGATACTGGTGCTAACTTTACTCTTATAAGCAACGGGTAAGAATTTCTGTGATAAAAATTTGCCCGCTAAACATGACCAATATGTAATTACGACAACAATGATAATAACAATCAATATTAATTTCATAAAATTTTAGACAGAGCAGGACCCACCTCATCGAAGAGCTCCTCAGTGAGGTCCAGCACCTCAAGAAAAGGAAATGTAAAAATATTTGACGAGGTTAAAAATGAAAATCATTTAGAAAGATGTGGATTTGAATATGGTGGCATATATGCATACAAATGTACAAATGAACCACATCCAAAATTCGAATTTTAACCGTGATTTATGAGGTAGTCGCATCACAGCTCAGTTTATTCCAATAATTAATCAATACTTCTGTGTGTGAACTGTCCTTTAACCCAATTCGTGTTGAATTGTCTGGTATCATTATTACTCCCTGTGGTTCTTAATCTAAGTAAAAGATGGCCGCCAGTGTAGACCCCAGATAGAGTGACACTTATCTTAATTAAAAAGAATTTTGCCAGAGTATCTGTGAGATATTTTCAGACTACTGATCAAACATGAGTGAGTAACACTGTTTATTTCTATAAGAAATAAAGTTCCCCTTAAATAAAGAAATCCATTCACAATTTTTTTCAAGTTTCTCGCTAATAAATGGCAAGCCTTCCAAAACTCTTGTTATAACCTACCATTGTAGTTTTCGTAGGAAGCTATTCTTGAATTGTATGCTGTATGCCTGGTATCAACTCAGTGAAGAACATACAGCCGATGCTATGGATTTACCTGGATCTTGTCCATTTAGGATAAAATTTGTTACCTCAAAGAGTAAGAGGAATTTTGCTTACGTTACTTAGTTATATGATTTTTTATCATTTCATCATAGTTGTGGCAGCGATTCTGTCAGCCAAGACCTCGACGACACATTGTCATACAATTGTACCGTCGACAGCAAATATGAAATATTCTCACTCAAAACCTATCGGTATTTTGGGGCAGAAGCAGGAGACGAAGTTTACATCCACTGCGATTTCAGAATTTGCTTGGCAGATGTAGACAATACCAAATGTGAATGTCCAGATGATGCTGCCGCTTGCGTAGGTGATCCTTCCGTTGATGTTACACCGGTGGGGCGTAGACGTCGTTCAATCTCTGATTCGGTGGATGAGTCACAGCTTTATCGTGTTGTCTACGGTCCATTCACCTTTCAGCAGGAAGAACTGAACAAAGATGAAGGTAAATGATAATTCACACTCCTTTTGGCCATAGGACGGGAATTTTGTTAGGTGCTTTCCACATTCTCTGCTAACCAAGACTGGTTTTCCATGATAATTGACCAAGTTACAAAAAAAGGCCGCACGGGGCAACTTGTAGAACCTATAGAAACGGAACGAAATGTAATATCATATATCGTAATGATGACTATAGAAAATTAACGAAGGCTGAATAAGAACCTCTAGAAAGACTGTAGAAATTTTCTTAGTATCTCTGCCTTTATTGATAGACATGAAAGGTTTAACATTATAATCTACTTACGCCCCCGATGGTTTAGTTCAATGATTAAACCTGGAATCTATTTGCTTCATTTCAGTTGCACCTAAAGACCAAAAGAAGACCCACCAGCCTTCCCAGACTGTACCAATTGTTGGGGCAGTATGTGGTGTTGTGGCTGTAGCTGTCATCTGCGCCACTGTTTACCTTGTCATTCGCTATCGCACCAAGCGCACGCAAAATGGAGATCTGCACGTGGTCACCTAAACTCCAAACACAAATAAATTGTGTTGTGCAAACGCACGAATATTATGTTTTTTAATCCAATGTCCATTTGAATGGTGTGACATATGAAGCAACTCGATAGGGTTAAGTTGAGTTGTGGATGTTGATTAAGACATAAAATTTTTTTCTTTTTTTTCAAACGAATAAATGATTAATCGGCTTTTTTCTTCAGATGATGGTAGGAATCAGAAACAGTTTTCAAAGTTAATCGAATTAATGTCTTGACTTTAGTGCCAAGGTTGATTTCATAAGCTATAACAAGGAAGTCGTTGTACTCCTATATATGCCTGTCACACTTATGTGCGCGATCCAGATTAACAACCAATTTTAATCTCTAATTGTTTCAACACCTTATAAACTTGCACACAAGCCTTATAGACAGCGTTAAGTTCACACACAATTTCAGACATTGTGAGGAAATTTATTACGTATGACAAACTTTACACTCTATATGCAGCAAAGCAACGGCAGCGTTGTGATTTTGCTTACGTTTATATGATATCTAACCGAATGCTAGCCATAGTAAATATACCCAAGTGGCATGCGGGCCTAGTTGCTTTCCCGTTAAACTGGCTCAAGCCTTGTAAGAGGCACCAGTACCGGTCTAATTTTTTACAATTTTAGGAATTTTGAGCAGCATCTAAATAAAATATAGGCGCCGTGATGAATTTATTATAAAACCTTTGTGTTTTTTTCTTTTTGTGAATATTTGTGTTCTGAAGGGCGGGATGGCCATCTTTTTTCTCTATCTGTTAAATCGGGAGGGAATTTTCGCTTCACTCTCATGGCATAGGAAGAACCATTACTTTCTCCAGTGATACCCAAGGCTGCAAAGCTGGATACTGAAATTTTATTCAATGCGGAGGCTTCGATCCAAAGCCTCACACCCAGTTACCCGCTGACTGGCTCGTATTTTCATAACCAAGCGAGTCTTATTCGTTAAATCATATAAATAAGTTAAATCGATTTCTTTGTTATAGCCACTTCAAATATTCTCTCCCAACTCATTTAGTGTCAAACTTGTTTTCCGATCACAATTCAGATCAGTTAAGTCATACTACCCAAACACAGGGGTCAACAATTGGGCGTGCGCAGGGGATCAATTTCGGCCGGCTACGCGCCAATTTCCCGCGTAACGTTTTTAAGGAGACCTCACAAAACAATTACCGTCCCGCAAAATGCGCAAAAGAAATTGAAATTTTATCAGAAATCTTTAAAGGTATGTAAAAAAGGAAAACTTGAGTCTTTTCAGGCAGAGAGCTTATTCAATTACGGGATCCTACGGATTTTACCATTTTGTTTTGAAATTGTCTCTACAGAAAATAATGCCGGAACTAAATGGCTTCAACGTTTTGCTTTTTCAGCGCGATAATGCGGTAAAGAATTCGAAGTGCATGGCATCACAAAGTATTGAAATCTTTTGATGGTTTGGAAATATTGTTTTTCGCGTTCTATTTTTCAATCAATTGTGCTCTTCAAAGAAAGCCAAGACGTTTGATTGACATACAAGTGTTCTCAGCCAATTAGAATTTTTCATTTGCAATTTGTTTGGACATAACTCCAACCCCCCCACCTTCTTTCCCCAATGGCCAAATGCTCAACGTTTCCAAGACATTGTCTAACAGAGAACATGGCATGAGGTACCTACATCACAGATGACCCAGCACTGAAAATTCAAGCGTGAATTTCATGTAAGACAGAGTTTCAAAATAGAGTCCAAAATACTGCACGAGTAATTGAAGCGCAATGATTTCCCTTGAAAGGTCGTAACTGACTGGGAGAATTAATCAATAGTAAGATGCGAATTGCCTAAACTTTATATATTGAAAATTTCAACTTCGTGTCGCCTAGAAAATCGAAAAAATGATAGGCGTAAGGCTACTTTAAAATGCAGGAGCTAAAGGTTAAAATATTCTCGCAGTTAAAGGCGTTTTTTGATGACCTCGCCCCTCCCCACCCTTCATTGCTTCTGTGCATGTTTCGGTGTGATATTTCGGTTAAATCGACACAGTCGTAACTACTTAACTATATGAGATAAATTCCCACTGTGCTTCATGTGCTTCATCAAAGGGGTTCTGATCGAAATTCGGTGTCCGTGAAGCGTAGTTGTTTGTGAAGTTGCATACTTGCACATAACTGTTGCCTAGAGACGAAGGTTCGAGAGAAGACCTCAAGAAGTCTTGATTCGCTTTGAAAGTGGAGATATCTTAAAAACATGGGATCAAAGAGGCGGAACGCACCAAAGCGTAGCGGTTACAGGCTCAAGCAAAGAACCACAGCAGAAGTTTGCAGGCGACCCTGTTATAATCAACGAAATTACAATTTCTTTGAACACCTTGAATCTCACACGGACAACGGTGAGTGCCTGATTCATGTTTTAGACCGTCCATAAAATAATTATTTAAACATATCGAAAACAAAATTTGCCTGCCTCAAATACAATCGCCTCGCGTGCAAACAATACGTTCTCAACAAATTTTTTCTTTATTTTCTTTTACTTTCGTTGCCAAGTTTTCGATAGCCAGAGCAACGAGAAGGTGAAAAGAAAGACGACTTTCCATTCCAAATGTATTTACTTTACACAGATATGTCGAGAGAATACAAAACATGTCATATCTTCGATTATTATCACTATTTACAAAAAAGGCGGGCATTTTGGTGCATTTTGCAGGATGAAATGGAGATGTTGACACATTAAAATGTTCGTAAATTGCTCGGCTCTCAGTCGGGGCCAAATTTTATTAGTGCACAATACACTGGCCATGTTTTAGCACACACAAAGAACGAAGAAATCCCGAATTTTCCATTTTCATCCTTTCTTTCGCTCCTGAACTAAATTATTACGATTAATAACTTTGGATTCAAGAATTTCTTTCGTTCTAATTATGACAGTTTGACTGACATTCCTTAGCTTTAACTTCATAAGTTGGGTAAAACTATAAAAAGCTATTAAAATTAAATGGTATTGCTAAATGCGAGTAATATATACATCCCCATAAATTACCAAATTTCCTGCAGCTTATGAGATTCGATTTTTATCGCAAGGAAGTTTTTCATGCTATGTCACCTGAAAATGACTCTAGCACTTTTTTCGAATAGTTCTTCACATCATAGCGTTATGAGACTGGCCTCAATTTGCTCGAAAATTAATTGTGCGAGGATATCTTTTTTATATATATACTTTCATTTCGTTCCCATTATTTTCCTGCAAAAACATCTTAAGCAAATTCAGCCGAGAAAAGGCTCTAAAATACAAGAATTTTTCAGGTCGGTCTTGATACGCATATGAAATAGGTAAAAAAAAATATAACATGCATTATGTTACTATGTTCGAAACGTTCGAGAAGATTAGGAAGTAGAGAATAATCTTCAGAAGTTTTTAAATACGGGGAATTAATTAAGCTCAGTTTTTAAATTTGTTTTCTTAAAATTGTAATAAGAAAATGGGCCTAACATATGCATACTGTTCCTTTCAATATGTGCAGTTTCTCGAAACCTATACTCTGTGAGCCATCAAATAGACGAAAATATATATTTATTTTTTTGCAGAGTTTGATGCTCGTGTTTGATTCATGTAGGGTTAAAATCGAAGAAATAAAATCATACATGATGAGTATTCGCTCAGTTAAAATTTCACGAAGAAAGACAATGTCGATAATGAAAATGAAGTAACTTTAGGATGCTACTAGTTTCGTTTGAATCAAATAAGCTATTAATGAAGAATTGCAAACTTACATCGTGAGGAATATTCAGTTGACGATCCTTGTTCTCAGAAAACTGTTCCTGTGAAGCTGTTCAGACTGTCATTTTAAAGAACACTCCTGTTTGTTCGAAGGTTTTTTTTTTTAATTACGACGACAATAGTTTGGTGATTAAAGCAGAGTTTGATCGAAATTGCTCGCAATTTCCAACAAACGAGCTTCGTTGTCAAATCTTAAATCAACAACAACAACCAATTGGATGATAAGATTAGCGATTTTACTCTTCTCAATTACAAGAATATGTTAAAAAAAAGGAATATTCCTAAAACCTGACAGCGTTTCACGAAGGTATCTGGAAATCATTGCTGCTCAAGCTAAGAGCATGATGTTCTCAAAAAGGTATATCTAAACCTAAGATCAATTTTTTTTTATCAGCGTCATGATCAAAATTTCATAACGAAGCATTTTCCAGATCGCCAGTGTATTATTTTACGTCTCTCTGAAAGTGAAATAAATTAAAATAAATTTATTCGTATGTGTTGCTAATTAATCAGCTTTGGAAACCTGAAAGCATTGTTAAATGCTTGCAATTTCTGATCTTGAAATTCGAAACGAAATGATAAAGTCGCGATCTTCGAAACTGCGGTCATTCGAATTTATTTTTGGGATGATGTTACCCTGACCTCTGAAATATCAAGTTTTTTTTATGAAAAGGAAGAAAATAAAATGCATCTAAAAAAAAGGTGCGCTCCAATTATGGAAAAATACTCGTCATCATTGGACCATCATCACCAATTCGTATAACGAGAATTTGGCGAGTGTAAACGCGTGGATTTATTATAAAATTATTGAAAATGAGTCGTAAAAAGTCATGCTGGCATGTAGACAGAGAACGACACCTTAACGAAGTATAGATGAAGGCTAGATAACCGCAAACTAACAGCAGAGAATAAATGCTTACCGCAAGCAAATATCGGTGACTAATTACGAACAACAAGCAAATCAAACAAATCTAAGGTATGTATATGCTATATTTGCTCACTTCAAAGGAACTATATATGTGAACAGTATTCTAACGATTACGATTGAAGATATGGATGATTGCACCTTTGAGAAGACATCTACGTGGCTTTGCCGATGTATCCAAGTAATAGAATCGTCGGCCTATACTGACGTAAAAAAATATTCCCTATGTGAAATTTTTGTAATAAATTTTACACGGCCTCAAAATTACATATTTCTCATAGTTACCTTAGCACAGTCTTTGGCTATCGTAAGGATAATTTTAAAATTGGAAAACAATGTTATCTATGAAGGATGGGAACTTTATTGTCAAAGTGATGAATTAATTACCATATCGAACATTTGATTAAAATTCGAATACTTATACCGTATGTTAAATAACATGTTCCCATTATTGTATGAGGTTGAGGTGTGGCGGCGTGGGAGAAGGTAAACGAAATATTTGATGTTGATTTTTATATAGCCACTCAGGTTTTTCAGAGTTTTCAAAGCTTATTAGTGTTATTATTATTATCATGTTTTTAACGTTTAAGTAACGATAGTCGTTTAATTAAAAAAACAAACAAACAAACATTTCTGAAGCTGAGAATTTTATAATCAAAAAGATGAATTGATTACTAGATGGAAGATTTCATCAAAAAATGAAAATAAACACATGCACCGTATGTTACAGCTGATTATTATCGGACCTCAAGATAACCTTTCGAATGCAAAAAGTTCGTGAAAACTTATTCAGTTGCGTCGATTAAAAGTAACCTCAATAACGCAAGAGACCTTTTCCCATAGAACGAAAACCACTACGATTTCATAAAAAGCGAGAAGATAGTTGAAAACTTAAATTTCAACGAAGGGAAAAGTAATTTTCATCTAAAGCCGTTGCAAAGAAATATGGTCCCGTTTCTTCGACATATATCCATTTTCATCAAAATCTACGCG